GGGGGGGGGGGGGGGTGGGGGGGGTGTTTGGTTGGTGGTTTTTTTTTTAATTTATGTTTAGTTACGCAAGTAAGCTACAGTGTCTTTTCCTTAGGGCATTTTTCACAAACAGCAAAGTATTTTCTAGGTTGTGGTTGCTGTGTTCCTTAGCAGACAGTAGGGCGTTGCAGTAGATGAGCCTTGAGGATGTCCATGTTTTTATTTAAACTGGTTTTGCTGTGGCCAAGAACATGAGTTCTCATATGTATTCATGTGAATCTGTCTTGTTTCTTTTTAATAAATGTTGAAATACTAGAACAAAGCAGCGTAGTGTACAAACCATTGCTTTTTCATAATTAAGACCGAAAGTATGAAATTCCAAAACATCTGGACTCTATGTAATGAACAGAATATATTTATAAAGATGTTTGTTAGTCACATGCTGTAATTGAGAACACTTGGGAAATCTGAAATTTCATGGTGAATCAGAAGCTGGTGCTATATTCTGCCAGGCCAGCAGTCCTGAGCTCAGGGAGCCTTAGGCTAAGGTACTCTTTTGCACTTACAAAAACCTTCACCTGCATGAAGTGTCAGTAGGTGTGTGTTAAGCAATTTATTACGTTGCAGTGAAGCTGTTGTAGACATTATTTCAAAAGAGAGGTAATGCGAGCTTTTTCTGCTTGTGGCCCCTGAAGGTGGGAATTCAATATGTCTATTAATATCCAAACCATTTAATATACCACTTAAACCTGTCTTTCTCTCTGCCTGGACTCATATGTGAAACCTGAGTGCAAACACTTTATTGAAGAGCTAGAAACTTGTTCACCGTTGACAAATTTTGATCTTACCAGCCACTGAAGGGCAGTAAAAGTGCCTTCATACTGTGCACCAGGAACAAAAACCTTCCCTCTGTTCCTGTAACACTGAAGCTTATCCAGCAACTTTGACAGAAGCCATTTACATAATACACCCACAAGCCAGCACCATTTAGGCAGATTCAGGCTGAAATATTTATTCAGCAAGTTGTAGGGCTTTATATTCTATTTATACTATTATAATATTATTATATTTAAATTATACTTGATGTAATTTTTTCTAAGCTAAGGGTATGTTTGTCTATACTAGTCACAAAAAACATGTGTTTGGTCATTAATAACTGGCTTTTTAATAGTCAACCGATTACTTTAAAGGAGATTTTACTTTCATTTAATTTTCAGAGTATTTATGTGGGGAGTTTCTTGTCTTCAGTGACTTAAGTGAGGACTGTTTTGCTGCTCTGACCAGTGCCATATGAAAGCAGTTAAAATGCTGGAATTGTTTACTGCCTAAATTGTTGTTAGTCAGCAGAGCCAGTACGTCGGATTTCTTTGCGGCTTTTTGTGGAAAATATTAAACAGTCGCCCTTTCTTCAGTTATAGGATTTTTACGTTTTCAGCTGTGTTAGTCACAGAACTGGCATGGACGTAACTGCAAAGACTGCCCCCCCAAAAAAGAAAAAGGCGCTTTTTTTTGGTGCCAGAGGAAGTTGCACTGGGTGCAGTGGCTGGGTTCTCTGGTAAGTGTGACATGTGAGCATTACTAGGCATTTCATCCTGCCAGGCTGCAGTTGCTGCTCGCCGGGCTGCTGCTCAGCGGGAATGCTGCTGTGGCGGTGGTTTGTGCTCTGCTCCTACGGGCTTTTAATGACCGGCTCGGACAGCCAGGCTTTTTTTAAGCTTTGCAAGGCTATCTGCTGATTGTATAATTTAATTTGTCAAGGAAAAAAACCTGATAAGCAGAAGCTCTAGCGGAAGAGGAGATTCAGGTTGGCACAGTGACAGATGTTTGGATAAAGAAGTTGGCTCAGAGATGATGTACGGAGTCTGATTTTTTTAATTTTTTTTTTCTTCTTTTTTTCCTCTCCCCCTCAATCTGAATGAAGACTATCATGGGAACTGCATTCACATGGTGATCAAAGAAACACTTGAGTGATGAACTGCTTTTGCAGAAGAAGTCTAAGGCAGTAATTTGAGCTTTTGTGTGTGGTAGCTAGCTTGTTTTGCTGAAGCATTCTTCCTCAACAGTATTTCTGCCTAACGCGTTCCCTGATGGAGAAGGCGCAGCTACTGCCCGGTGAAGGAAAAATGAACACTCCACATTGCTTGTGTCCGTGACAGAGTAACGCTGTCTGCGTTGCTGTCGTTTTGGGGAGGCTGGATTCAACTGGCAATATTATTCAAGGAGTTCATTGTCCCTGTGGTCTGACTCATCGCATGTAAATGTACTGCAGCCGTGCTGTACGTTGCAGATATTTTTCTTGCATGGGAAGGAATTACTTTCCTCTAAGCAGGTCCTGAATAACTGCTGGAAATGAGATGCATTTTTCTGGCTGGACTGTTTTTGACATTGAGAAAGGAAGCCGTAGCATGACAGGATGATCAGAAGACGTGTTTATTTTCAGTCACCAGAAAGCCTGCGACGGTTGATTTAAAACCGACCTTGCAGGAGTGGGTATAGCTGCGGCCGTCTCTCTCAGGGCAATTGTTCCTTGTTCCGTCCTCAATAGGACGGTGTCATGTCTCCTGCAACAATGATTTCACTGTGGGGGTAGAAGGACGCTGTGGAAGTTGTGACATTAACAAAGACAAATTTGCTTGTGAAAGGACAGCTGTGTGCGACAGTGAGTGCTGTTCGAATGGAATTGGATCTTGGGATATTTTTATCAGCTGTTCCACAGTTTCATTATCGTGGTTTCGATGCCTAGGGCAATTTTATTTTAAAAAGAACAACTTTTTTTCAGCATTGTCTTGAACATCTCAGGGTGTTTAAATCTGAAAAATGAAGTGTAAGGGGGGATTGGAATGTCCTTTTTTAAATGCTAATATACCAGCGGTAGCACTCACAAGTTTGTGAGGACATGTGAAACAGGTGAAAGTATTTCCTCTATGGTCCCCGTTGCGATATTTGTGGTCTGGTTCCAAAAATACTGTTGCTGGCATTTTTTTGTTTGCTTTTGCTTCCTCAAACGGATCGAATGAGTCGAGTCTGTATTGTTGTTTTGGAGGAGGTGGAAGATGATTCTCCCACATTTATTTCCAAATTACCTCAGGAAAATGTATCTTTACGTCCATCGCCCTCTGGAAATGTGCTGGTAAGGCATGTTGTTTGTTGGCATATTTCCTGCTTATAGTACTGTTGTGAATACAAATAGTAATTTTCCTAAAATTGATATGAATATGTGTGATCTTGAAACAAGACCAGGTGGTAAAAACTGCCTGTACTAAAGAGGGAAAAAGCTGAAACTTAGTTGTAGAATTAATATTTGCAAGGGCCCATTCTTTTTCATGTAACTTTATTTATGGTGCAGCAATAACAGATCTCAACTCTTGTGTAATAGCAGAGGATTTTTAGAGGGCTTGGTAAACTGTATTTGAAGTAAATGGTTTTTCCCCGCTCCACTCCATGCAGTACCACTTTAGAAACCGATGTAATCATTTTATTGCAATAATATGCTGTGTTTATTTTGAGAACTGATAGAGTATATAGTGTACATCAAGCAAGAGCAATTCTAAGCTAAAATGAAAAATAGCGTAAGTCATAATGTTGATGTAACTATTAGATTCAAGTTACCCCATTCTGGAAACGATCAACACTAGGGACTGTGCTTTTATTGCTTTAAATTATTTTATTTTGTCAAGTGACTGACTGAAATCTTGCTAGCATACCTCAGCAGCTTTTCTTACTAAGAAATCCTGCTATATTTAGTAGATGGGTGTGAGTGTGAATTTGTTACCATACTTATCTGATGCACTTTGCTTTCCCACTCTATCTATACAGGTGAAAAACTTCTAGTAACTTTAGTCACTTGCTAATGTAAAAGGGGTTTGCTTATATCGTATAGAATTTGCAGTACGTAACAACAGCCCTAATTTTATTATGAGGAGTTATCTTTTCAGCTGTTTCAAGCTAGTCTTCTGGGCCTTGGTTAGGTTTTTCTATTTTTATTTTTATTCCATGAACTTAGAGTATGTGCGTGTGTTTGAGGTTTTTAAAACTTAGAATTTCTTCAATTCTAAATACTGTTGCTGGTTTCTTTGTTACACTGCCTGGGATGTTTTATTTTGTCATCATCTTGTGTTTGTGTTATGTATCAAAAAACCATATGTGTATCACTAAAAGCTAAACTGGGATTATATTCTAAGATGTGTTTTTTCTTCATTTCAGCCACCATTGGTTCAAGCTATATTTAATGGAGATCCTGATGAAGTTCGAGCACTGATATTTAAGAAAGAAGATGTTAATTTTCAGGTAAAACCAAACATCATTAGCTTTGAATACATTTTAATTTTGTTTTGATTCAGCTTTCTGCTATACTAATCACTTTAAAACTTTGTTAATTCATGAGCTGTAAATTTTATTGCTTTTATGTAATAGGCAAAGTAAAGCCTATACATACACTTTATACTAGGAAGGAGGAGTGTAGCTTTGTAGATTTGTGTTGATAGTAAAGACCTAATTCTATATTCCTTTCAAATGTTAGTTCTGCAGCGCTTGGGTAACTGAAAAGTTTGTTTATGCAGTTGCATAAGACTTTTTAGAAAGTTAGACTGGTTAAACATGATGCTATGTAGACTTTTCATTCTTCTTAAATACAGCCTATAGTATACATTAGGCAATTATAAGAAAATGGTCTGGGGTTTCAGTAGGTAGGTTTAATAGGGGATTTTAAAAAGGGAAACCTAATGATTATATTAATAAGTAAAAATGAGAAATTGTGTGTGTATGCCCTACTTGCGGTGCTGCAAACCCAGACAGTGCAGTGTTAAAAATTGTACTGAAATGAAATTGAATTTGTTCCATTGGGTGAAATTCAAGATTTGAACAGCATGCAGTTACTGTATTTACTTTCTATTAAAATTCTAATACGCATGTTTGCCACTATGCAAGATAATATAGCATAAACTCTTTACATGGATTAGAAATTGCTTTGATTATTAAAGCAGACTGATGTAAACCATTTAGGGCTTAACGCTGTGGGAATGTATATAGCTGTTTCTGCTCCAAATGCATCAAAACAACAGTGATGCTAAAAAGCAAAGGCTAACATCTAGATGCTACATAGTTGCCAGTGTAAGGCTATCGTAATTGTTTACACTTTCTTCTTCAGACATGTAAACCAAAAGCAAGTATTTAGTTTGGTATGTGTATTTTGACATTTAAAAGCATTCTGTGGAATTTATATCTGATCAATGCTAGCTGAAGTATAAGGGAGCCCTCCCATTGTCTTGAAGAGCTTGAGCAGGACCCTGTATAAGTAGACTTACTGTCGAATCTAAAGTTTTATTTCATAAGGTTGGACTTTTCCTCTCTTTTTCAGTAGTTTTGCATGTTCTTAAGTAAGATTGTATGATGGATTATATAATATCAAAAGATTTAGTCTTCTGTTTCGTTATGAGAGCATGAGCTGTATATCTTTCCAGTCTCTTCATATGAACACCGGTCTCGCTGCGATTTTTATTTTTAAAAGCTGATTAGGCTCTATTCTTTCATTTATATTCCTCCATGTGTAAGGTCAGCATTCATAGCTATAGTGCCTGTAAACAAAATTAGGTTAGTATCTTTCAGCTTTTTTGATTGTCTCTTACAAAATCCTATGCTAGATGTCAGTATATATGTGGTAGTGGTTTGGTTTTGGTTTTTGTTCTGTCTCAAGTTTTGTCAAACAGTTGCCCATAAATACAAAGTCAGCAGTTGTGCTGTAATTGATGTCTTTTGAAGAGGGTTACCTTAGACTGCCAGGTAGTTACAGTGGAGATACTGTAGGTACAGTATTCAAAATATGAGGGTTTTTTATTTTTTACATCTTAATTTTTATATTCCTTTCTGTGTATATATCTCACTTTAACCAAACATGTGTGCATCTTAGGCTAGTAACACCCAAGGTGTATTTAGAATCCATCCAGAACAAATATGCTATTTTTTTCACAGCCACCTTCTTCAGCCTGGGCAGGTGCTTATCATGCATGACCACTCCTTCCTGTCATGGCAGTCCTAGTCCTACTACAGTATTAAATATTACATTCACATATATCTCTTAAAACACTGTTGGGAGTAAATGAGCGTATAAATTCTCCCATTGTTTGATAGAAATGAAGTAAACTGGATTTTAGTGGATAATAACTGGAAAATAGTGGATTTTTCTTTGTGTGTGTGTGTTTTGTTCTTTTCCTTGGGTTTTTGTTTGCTGTATGTACTTGGCTGGAGATAAGATATCCTTACATAGTCTAGATCCAAAGTTGTCACCTTAGTTATGTGTTATAAATTGGTATGGACTGAATGAGGAGAAAAGAGCAGAAAATGAAGTGGTTATGTGTATTTCCTAATAAAGAGAAGGATCGTGATAAACTGTTTTGATTGTTGTGGATTGTATTAGACCAGTGTATATGTTAGATTTTTTTTCCACTTTGCTATCCAAGTGCTTCAGTACAGTTGTTTGAATTCCAGAGTCATTCCCTCCAATGCCTCTGCAGAGTCTTTTCCCTCTCTCAAGAGCAACTAATTATTTTGCAGTTTGTATTCTAATAGTTCATATTCCTTCCTTCCTCCCTTCCCCTGAGCATGGGTTGGACTCTGTAACTGAAGATCTAGCAGGGTTCTGCAAATTAATTTTGCCCAGAAGTGAACTGAAGATAGCGCTGTTGTAGGTCTTTGTTGTGACAGTGACATTAATCTAGGAAAGTTGTTAGTGTTTTGATGAAATGTGGGTGTAGTTTTTGTTTTTTCCTTCTGTTACCATCCAGCTTCATTTACCTTTTTACTTTCAGGGTATGTTATCTTAAACATTAATTGCAGTTGGCTTAAAACTCTTTCAAAGCTAAGTGAGTTGAGTCTTTTTATTTGGCCTTCCAAAGCTAGGCTGTGATAACTGTTTGGTATTATGGTAATAGCTAAAGATTGCACCCGGGTTGAGCTGTATTAGAGCATTACTCCTAAAACAGATGATGTCTTCTACCATAGTGTTATATTTAGAAAGATTCTGAGATGGGTGGCCTTCCATGAATTGCTGTGTGTGACTGTAAAATGATGTACTGATAGCAAACAGGCTTTTTCAGGAAGAAGATTGTTCCTGCCACACCAGCCTTCTTGAGTCACAGGCTCAGTCTACATTTAGAAAGTATGTATTGTATTCCACTCTGCAGTTGTAATCTTTTGTGAAGAAAGAACAAATCAAGTGTGTCCCTAGCTGCTTAAGGTGTTGTTCAAAAAGACTACCTTCTCTGCAAGTTGGAAGTGTGCAGCTATTTTATAGACAAAAATGATTTATAGGAACTTTGATCAAATGTATTGTTTGGAAGGTGAACTCTCTTGAGGCTCCAATTAATGAAAAAAAAACAGGGAGGAAGGAGTTGCTTCTCCCTCCCCTTTGCCAAGGAAGCTTGAGAAACTGTAGCTGTTTGTTTCATGAATCAGGCTTAAATCACACACGTCACATACGTCAAGCCCGATATGGTTTCTGTTACACACATGGCTCTTGCTGTGCTCTGTGTGTGTATATATGTATATATATGTTTAAAAAAAAAAAATTATTATTTCTTGGTTCCATCCTGAGCTTTTGAGACTTGGCAGTAAGGAAAATCTTGTGTGATAACTGACATATTTAATATCTCTTTATTAGTTAATGGGGATCCTCAGCATTTCCTGCTCTTGCTGATGACAGTATGGCTGGTTTGAATTTTATGTACTTTTCAGCAGTTAGCTAAAACTAACTAAATGATTTCAGCATTGCCTTTTATAAATCAGGATTTGTTTGTTTAAGATTTGGAGGCCTATTACTGTTGCAAACTGTGCCATTTCTGTTTGTAACCAAAACTGTTATGATGTATGTTTGGTTTAAAAGATCATGAAAATGGAGTATTTCATCTCAGCTATTTGTTAAGAATAAATTCTGTGGCAGGAATACCAGATCACTGTCAAAAATGATTTAAAGGTTGCAGATCTGGCTATGGAAATGACCATTCAAAGTCGGAACAATTTTTCCTCCTCCTAGACCTATTAGGATAATATTTCTTGCCATGAAAAGTGATACTTCAGGTAACCCGAGATGCAGTTTTTGTAACCTTATTGCACTTGATCTTAGCAGAGGGGATAAACATCTGATCCTCTCTTGAACTGGTGTCAGTGTGCCCCTTGCTCTTCTCATGCTAAAGCCAAACAAGCACTCTTTTTGGAGGAATCCCAAAATCACACAGATCTCTCCCGATGTTCAAAAGTGCTCACTGCACATATTGACATGCGATAAGTGACTTAAACATGAAACACCTGTATCTTACTGCTCATTGTGCTTTGTGAGATTAAAATAGATTTAAACTATGAAACATATTTTAAAGCTGCTTTATGTGTGAGTTGGTGGGGTTTTTTCCAACATAAAATGTGACATGGGCAAATGAAATTCCACATACCGTACCAACGACTGTAGGGATCAGGGTTATCTGTAAGATTTCTATCTGGACTATTGGCCATCCAGCACAGCTCTTAATTTAGTGGCTTTTTTCCTATAGTAAGTAACGAAAAATAAAATAAAATAAAAGCTCACCTATGTTACTATTTTGGGAAGAAAGAAAAAAAAAAAAGAAAACAAAACCACAGAACCAATCTTGTCTGCCCTCCCTACCCCCCACCTGTATTAGATAGCAATGAAGTGTTGCCCATAAATCCCAAGCTTTGTTCCTGGCACTGGCAAGGTGTATGATCCAGTAGCACCAAAGTGCCAGGTACAAATAGGAGGACTAAGTCTATGTATGTGACTTGGTTATTTTGAGCAATAGGGTTGCTGTGTGGATGACTGTTGCAGTAGAGATGTAGGCTCCCTTCCCAGGCCTGCCAAGTGTGGGTTTGCATAACTTCTTGTTTGTGTTATTTGCATTGTAGGAAAATGTTGCTGGATGTCATTCTAGGGTAAGATATGACTTCTTACTTGATTACCTGTTAAATTTTTTAATTCATTGTACTCTGCAGGTCATTGCATAGACTGAACGAGGAAGAAAACTGGTTTGTTAGTCTAGTGACAAGTCTAGGACTTCTCATACAGCATTGGGTCTGGTGGGTACCAGGAGAATTAGATTATTGAGGGTCTCAAATATCTTAATTTAGAAATTAATAATGAAAACTGAAGTACAGCTTAAAAACCAAGAAGGATTCTTTGTGATGCTCGTATTGGTCAGCAAAGTCCTAAAAGAGGTTAAATAGAATAAATAGATAATGAATGTATGGTCTGCTGGCTTTCATCTTTATACTTAACCTTGTGGGTT